CTTGGCTATTTTAATTCTCTCTGCAGCACTTACCACTCTCGTGTCTTCCCGTCCGCTTTGCTTACTGCCCGTCTCCCGCTCGGGAAGGCGAGCTCCTGAGAGAGAGCCTGTAACTGATGATTCCTTAGCACCCAGGACATGGGTACGGTCAGCACTCAAATATTGGGTGGATGGACGGATGGAAGACTGGTGGATGGAAGGAAAGAAAAAAGGATGGGTGGATGAAAATATGGATGGGAGCATGGGTATATGGAAAGAAATATGAAGTATGGGTAGACAGTTGGATGGAAAGATGCATAGGTGGAAAACTGGTGACTGGAAGGAAAAGTGGAAAGGTAGATGGATGGCAAAACAGGTGGTTGGAAGGAGACGTAAATGAGAAGATGGGTGGATAGAAGGATTGGCGGGTGGATGGAAGAAGAGGCAGATGGATGGATTAAAGGATGGGTGGATGGAAGGATGGAAAGATGGTTTGATGAAATGATAAAAGAATAGACAGAATGATGGAAGAATACATGAATGGTCAATGAAAGCATGGGTGGGTGGAAGGAAAGATGGAAGGACGGTTCAATAGGATGCTGATGGACAAATGCAAGGATTAGGGGTGGATGGATAGATGGGCAGATGGGTGGGAGAAAAAACAGGTAGATGGAAGGATGAGTGGGTGGAAGTATATGGATGGAGGGAAAGACAGAGGATGAATAGATAGAATAATGGAGGAGGTATGGAAATAAATGGAAGTAACTGGATAGAAGGGTAGACATAAAATTCCCCAGACTGTGATGGATAGATACTGCTGGTACTAAGCGCCTCCCGTTTGTGTTAAAGGGGCTACTATACACCTTCCTGCAAAGACTTTGTTGCCGAATGACAGGTTGCCTGCAGCTCTAATCCTCTGAACCAGCTTCCACAATCATCTGAACTCATCAGCAAACATCCATATTTAATAAACTCCCCACCTGACGCCTGGCACCCCATGCGCAGCTGTTGACTTAGCTTCATCATCAGGCCTCGGTAATCCCGGTTCAAAGCATCAGCTTTAACTTCTCCCACCCCTGGTGGAGCCCCTCTGTGCTCCGGCTCCCTTCCAAACAAACAAGCAAAAAAGACTTGCTCACATCACCCCCCTGCTTGAAACCCTCAGGGAGCAGAACAGGAACAGAGGCTGGGGCCGAGCCCTTCACATCTGGCCCTGGCCCCACTCAACAGCTTCACCTCTCACCCCTGCCTGGCTCCTCCCCTTAGACCCCGTGCGTTGCCACCATATGGAATCCCCCTCTGTCCCGAGAACAGACCCTGCTCTCCAGCCTCCAAGCACCCGTCATGCTGCTCCTCTCAACCTAGAACTAGGTTCTCCTCTAGGGAACGTCCCTCATTCTTGAAGCTCAACCGTCCCATCATGGAAGACCCACTGGTCCCTCAAATAAAACATCTTCACTATCTCTTGCCCAAGGGTACTAGACACAGTGCTAAATGCTTCACAGGCAAATCCCAGCGGATCCTCATCATCTATGAAGCAGGATTTATTATTACTCCCATTTTACAGATAAGAAAACTGAGGCAGAGAGCGCAAGTAACTGGCCTAAGCTTTCAGTGATGGAAATCAGGATTTGGACCCAGGCAGTCTGCCTCCAGAGTTCTCCTCTTCATTGCTACACTCTAGAGCCACCCTGGATAAGGCCCAACTCCTCCAGAAAGCTCTCCCTGCTCCCAGGCAAGGTTTGCTGCTTCCTTCTCTGGGCTCCCACACAGTCTGGACTCCAATCACACCATCTAACACCTAACAACTGCATCATAACCCCTTGCATAGAGGACTGTCTCCAGACATGGCCACCAACAGTTCCCCTAACCCTGTGTGCACATGCCAGTCCTGACACCGAGAACTGGCAGGTATTTCCCCTCCCTGTGGGTTGGCCTTGTGACTTGCTTTGACCAACAGAATACAGGGACCCCAGGCCTTACGAGATTGGCAGCTCTCATTCCTTTCTCAGACCCCAGCCGCCACACTGGGACAAGTCCAGGCTGGACCACTGAACAATGACAGGCCTTGCGGAGACACCCTCAAGGGCAAGGCCAACATGGACATCCCAGACCCAGCCGAGTCACTGCCAGGCTCCCTGCCGTGTGATGGGCTCGGGCAACGTCAGCAGATGAGCCGCCCAGCGGAGCCCCAGCCAACGGTGTAGCTGTGAAAATATCACAGACCATGTTCTTTGAAGCCCCTGGCTTGGTTCACCTTCCAGCCTCAGTTTCCCCATCTAAAAAGTGAGGACAGTGATTGCTGCCCTCCGGGTATGCTGTGAGGATGAAGTTCAAGTACCTCACAGAAGATGGTTGAATGTTGATTGCCATTTTTCAATTTTGTCTTTTTTTTTTTTTTTTTTTTGAGACAGAGTCTCACTTTGTTGCCCAGGCTAGAGTGAGTGCCGTGGCATCAGTCTAGCTCACAGCAACCTCAAACCCTCAAACTCCTGGCTCAAGCAATCCTTCTGCCTCAGCCTCCCGAGTAGCTGGGACTACAGGCATGTGCCACCATGCCCGGCTAATTTTTTCTATATTTATTAGTTGGCCAATTAATTTCTTTCTATTTATAGTAGAGACGGGGTCTCGCTCTTGCTCAGGCTGGTTTTGAACGCCTGACCTCGAGCAATCCACCCGCCTCGGCCTCCCAGAGTGCTAGGATTATAGGCGTGAGCCACCACGCCCGCCCATTTTTCAATTTTGGACCAGCCAAGAGGACAACCTTTCCTTCTGACTTTTCTCCCTGTCTACCGTGCCCCGAGTCCAGGCCACCCTCACATCCACACACTGCGCAGAGGCATGACTCTGCTCCTGCTCATCCTTCCATGTCTCCGGCCCATCTGCTGCTAGGCTCTGGTCCTGCTGGCCAGGGCACGTGGGGGTGGGTGGGGCCAGTGTCTTCCACTCACCCGGGGCAGGGGGCTCTGGAGTCCTGGGGGCAGGTGAAGGAGTCTAGAGAAATGAGCCCCCCAGATATGACACACTGCCCAGGGCAGGCTGTGGCTTGCGCACAGGAGGAACCTGACTCACTTCAACACCTGGCTATAAAATGCACCTCCACCATGTGGTCTGGACCCAGCCCTGCTCTCAGGCAGCAGAAACAAGGTATTCAAGGATGTTCCACTTGGGGAACACTCTCAAGGTCACCTATCCTGGAAGTCACAGATTTGCATGCTCCCCAGGGTCGGCAGTATAGAAACATACAAGGTGGGTGAGCGTAAGACAACAGGTGTTAGGAGCTCCTGTGGAATACCCACCAGTGCACTGTGGCCAGTTTCAATAATTTTTTAAATTTAAGAATGACCTACATATGCATGTCAAGAGCAATAAGTCACACAGAAACTACAAGAGTGGTTGCCTGGGGCTGAGGAACAAAGAGTAAATGGGGAGTGACTGCTAACGGGGACCCACTTTCTTGTTGAGGTGATGAAAATGCCCCAAAATTAGATTGTGGTGATGACTGCTCATCTCTGTGAACATGCTAGAAACCAACCACTGAATTATGTACTTTGGATGGGTGGATTTTATGATATGTGAATTATATCTCGATAAAGCTGTTCAAAAATGATGGGGACATAGAAAAAAGGAGTTTAGAGCTGGATGAATTTTTCACAAAGTAAATGCCCACGGAAGTAAATGCCAAGATTGGCCACACAACCGGGCCAGCGTCCCAGACCCCTCCTAAGCTCCGTCTCATTTACAACACCTTTCCCCTCCACTCTTAAAAGGTAATCATGATTCTGAATTCTAACTGTGTAGCCCAGTTTTGCCTGACCCTGTCCTTTCTGGGAAGGAACTTACTCAGTGTACACCCCTTTGTGTCCAACCCCCTCCTGTCTGACCTCTTGCATGCAGTGTGACGTTCATGGGTTCATACATGTTGGCACATGGCTAAGCGTGAGGCTCAGTCACTTTCCTCGCAGGGAATTTACGATAATCAACACATCCACGGTGCTGGACACTTGGGTGGCTTTACGTCTGGGCTATGACAAACAGGGCTGCAGTTGACATTTCCTCTGCCACGTGTCTTTAGTGAGCACATGCATGCATTTCTGTTCAGTAAATATCAAGGAGAGGAACTGCTGGGTCATAGGGTGGCATGTGTTCAGTTTAGTAGACACTGCCAAATAGTTTTCCAAAGTAGTTGTTCCAAATTCCACTTCATTCACATGTGTTTTAACAATCTGGCCAGCCCACAACACACATGCAAGCTATTTGCTGCCTAGGAGCTGCCAGCAGCAAAGTCCGACCTCTACATTTTATAGCCATAGAAGAAATCCACTACAGAATCACCTGAGGTCACAGAGCAATGAACCTGCATATTCATGGGTGAGTTGTTGAACTCTCCAAACCTCAACATCCTTGTCTGTAGAATGGGACAATAACATCTACTCCATCAGGTTGCTGGGAAAATCAAATGAAATAACTCCTGGGAAGGACCTAGCACGGCGCCTGGCTTGAGTGCCCCACAGATGCGAGTCACCACTGCTGCCACCGTTGTCACTGATTGTGCTTTCTCACCCTGGGTCCGTCCTCTTTCATCAAAACCCATTCACACTGGTAAACTTTAACTGCTAAAAGAATATTTCATTAGCAATGTCGGTTTCTTGCTCCACAACTTGTAGGTTAAGCTGTGATACCGATCCCCAGAAAGTCAAGTCCTTGTGCATTCCTCCAAACCCTGAGATGCCACATGGGGATAACCGCGTGGCCTATGATACCACCCCAGTTATGAAATCATTGTGCCGTCAATCGTGTGCTTTCTCTCGAAACTATTTTGAATCATACAACAGTCCTGTTGTTTTTACTTCTGGTTTTCTGATTTCACTAAGGTCAAGTTTATCTTAAAAGTAAATAATATATAAATACATTTACAATTTATGTTAAAAGTAAAAAGTTCAAAAGCCTTTGATCCTATTAAAGTCAAGTTACTATGAGAGGTAAAAACAAAAGCATTCACCTGGCAGGTGCCTGGAGCCTGCAACGCCCCCAACTGAGTCGGCAGCATTTGAAAACGTGTCATTCTAGTCATGTTTTGAAATGGTCTCAGGGTCCACTAACCACTTTGTAGAGGCCTGAATTTTCCCAGGGCACCATTTTGGCCGAGGAGACCGATGGCCTGAGAAGGGAAACAGGAAGCTGGAGGGTGAAATGTCCCATAAAACCCGGTTCTGTGACCACTGAGAGGATTAAGGTTCTGTACGCCTCGCTGGTCATTTCCAGGTGTCCTGGGGGACGGCTTTCCATCTCCGGGTGAAAGCCGATGATTTGGAGGGTGATAATGTGCAACTGTGTTCCAAATGGTCCCCATTTCTTGCGTTTTTGGTTTTTTTTAAATGCGTTTTTTTTTTTTTTTTTTTAATTCTCCTTTGAGGCATCTGATGAGGACTGAGTGTAATTAAAGTGGTGGCAGGGGCCAAGAGATAAAACAGCTTTTTGAGGGAGGGAATTTTTCCAGCTGAGCTAGGGGATCAGTGAAATCCCCGCTGAGATGTCAAATCATTAGCGCCTCCGTAATCCAGAGGTGGCTTATCCCCGCTGTCGCGGTTGCGCTGGGAGTGTAGGGGGTGGGGTGGGCCACGAAGACCCTAAGGCTGGCGCTGACACTGGGCGCCAGTCGGGGAGCACAGAGGAGGGAGGTTCCCTGGGGTCAAGGCGAGAAGGTGGCAGGAGACAGCAATGCCATGTGTCTGCCTCTGCCTGGGTGTGATCTGGGTGCTGAGGAGCAACCCTGGCAGGCCAAGTGCACTCAGAGGCCAGATCCTTTCCCAGCTATTCCCCCCCCAATTAAGAGTCACCTGACTACACATATCTGGCATGGTCTCAGGTCCCCAGATCCCACCCAGCTGCCGTCTAATGGAGCGGCTGCAAACAAACTCCCGAGTTCACTTACCAGCTGCAAAATCCTGAACATGGTACAAAGTCTCTCTGGGCCTCAGTTTCCTCATCTGGAGAATGGGAGCATGAGAGCCCACCTCCTGCAAAGATACAGGAATTAAAGGAAACTTCTAGAAAAGCTCCTAGTCTGAGGTAGGCAGGCGATCATCAGGCACCACTTCTCACCCTTAATCTTGCTAGACAATGCATCCCAGCTGTGGATGCCTTTCAGTGTCTTGAAACCCACAGCGAGCTGGCGCAGCTGGAAGTTAAAGGAGACCGGCGCTTCAGATTCATTCTTGCAAGTGAGGCAGGTTCCCTCCCCTGCGTCTCTCTACACAGCTGACACGTGGCTGCTGTGCGTCTTCCCATAGAAATTAGCAAACAGCCTCTCCCACCACACCCCCCAGGTGCCCCTCGAAGCAAAACAAAAAACAGGGCTTTTCAATCTCAGTACTATTAACATTTGGAACCAGAGGATCCTTTGTCTCCTTTGTCGTGGGGACTGTCCCATCACCTAGGATGTTTAGCAGCATCCCTGGCTTCTACCCACTAGATATCAGTAGCAGCCCCTCCTCCCCAGCCAGGGTGATCAGATATGTCTCCAGACATTGCCTAATTCCCCTGGGGGGAAATGCACACCCCCCCCCCCAGGTGAGAACACTTGCTTTACAGGGCTGTTCTGAGGGTTGGCAAGTTTAGAGAGAGGCCCTCGCATATTGTTAGCCACTGTCAATAAGTGGTTCATCAGTTAGGATTGGATTTGCTTGCAAGGAATTGTGACCCAAAAGAACAGTGACTTAAACCAGACCATATTTGGTTCACTTTAATGCAAAAATCTAAATGTTGGCAGTTCAGTGCTGGGTGGTGGCCCTGTTCCACTCCTCCATCTCTAACCTTTGACCTCATCCTTAGGTCCGAGGTGCAGGCTGCAGACAACAGGATGGAGAAAGGGCGGGCAGAGGGCACTCACCTGCTAGCCAAATAGATCCCCAGATGCTGCCATGTCGACCTTCCACTGACATCCTTTGGCCAGAATTGGTCACACGGTCACACCTAGCTGCAAGGGAGGCCGGGAAGCATACTCTTTATCCTTACGAGGCATGTGCACACAGCCAGCGTTGCATTACTGTGGAAGAAGAGAGAATTGGCTACGTGAGGTCATGGAATCCCTTGGGCCTGCCACAGTTGGGAAGCTGATTAAAGCCAAAGGCTTTCAGAGCCACCAGGACACAAGCGCGATATAATCCGTGGAGCATCTGGTCCATTACGTTTAATAAAACCACTGGAAAACAAACAAACAAAAATAAACCACTGGACAAGAAATATGAGCAGTGTGCACAGGAGATAAATGCACAGGCAACTCATCTTTGAAAAGAAATCCCATGGGGCTGGCACAACCACATGCCATCCGTGTCATGTGAACGTGTGGTGGGAGGAAGGGAACATGGGACACAGGACCAGGAACCCTGGGGGTCTCTGCTTTCCTCTCGATTCTACCACCCAGAAGCTGCACAGTTTAGATCAAGTCACCATGCCCTCTAGGCCTCAGTTTCCTCAACTGTAACCAGGGCTAGCATTAGAATCTCAAACATCCAAGTGGGATATATTTGTGTACATGTATCCCATAAACTCCACAGCAGCGCAGCCCAATAGAACCTTCGGTGGTGATGGAATGTTCTAGATCTGCCCTGTCCAATATGGCAGGTGGCAGCCACCACACATGGCTACGGAGCTCTTGAGATGTGCTGGTGCAAGAGAGGACCGGACCTTCCACTACGCGTATGTACTGGGCAGCACACCTCTGGAGCAGCTGCTCTGCGTGACGGCGTGAGCTAAAGCAATGCCCCTTGGGAACTTCGTTCTCTCAGGTCCCTCATGCTCTCTCCCCCTCCCCTTATCTTGAGCCCTAAAAAAGCAGCTTGCTAACCCTCTAGGATGGCTATCACCAAACAAACAAAGACAATAAAAACAAGGGTTCCATCTTGAATGGGGAGGGCACTGGGCTGGTCAACGGGGCTTCCCGCCTGAGGTCACCCCACTGAGAGGAGGTGCAGCTGGGTCTGTGTGGGCCTGTCCAATCAGCCAGGGCTTAGCCACAATTGCAAATTCTACCCCATTAGGCAACAGTTACTATCTCACCTTCAAAAACTTTCATCAAGTCCAGGCATTTAATGAGATCTCGCCAGGAAGACAATTGGGCTTGATGACATTGAGCTAAATGGCTGTCTGGTTCCGCGCATACATAAAGATGGGGATGAGACCGCGGGAGCCCGTTAAATCGCCTCATTATAGTGCCATCGTCATCAACTGGTTCCATAACTAATAGCCCGTATCCTGCCCAAAGCAATAGCGAGTCTTGCATGTAATTTCTGATCACTTCCATGTCCCCACTGACATCATGGGACTTATTTTTCTTCCTAAATACATGTGCAAATGGTTGTTTCTCAGCCTCAAATCAATACATCATGACTAGCAAGAGCCAGAGTCACAGACGGCCTCACTGAATGCTCTCTACGGGAAAGAAGACATCAGTCTGCCGAACAGGCCCCAGAGGAATGCTGGACTTAAAAGTCATCGAGACTTGGGTTCAAATTCCTGCTCTAGTCTTTCGGAGCTGTGTGACCCTGAGGCAGGCATTCCACCTCTCTGTGCCTTGGCATCCCTGCCTGTGAGACTGAGCGAGGCACCGGTATCAGAGATCTACCAACTCTAGTAAGACTGAAACACAACCACCTCTCTGTGCCTTGGCATCCCTGCCTGTGAGACTGAGCGAGGCACCGGTATCAGAGATCTACCAACTCTACTAAGACTGAAACACAACGTGCAAGTTTGCAGATTATAACGCATCACGCAGACGCCAGCTGCAGTTCATCCTTTGTCAGGTGTGAAGAACCTCAAGTTCAAACGCATTTCCTTAAATAATTAATTTCTCTCCATACGTTAATCTTCAAAGCCCTCACCTCTTGGTGAGGGGGTGTAATTGAAAGCAATTAAATTCCTACTAGAGCTGAGCCGTGGTGGGTGGTTAGGAGCTCACAGCTGGGAGGACAGGATGGGAAGGTACCAAACTGACGGCGGCCTCTCTGGAAAGGCGTTCCGCGAGGCGGGGAGGAGAGCTGGGCATCAGATCCCGGCGATAACGGCAGAAGCGCTCCTCTGCCTATTCGCCTCCTCTGCGTGTTGAGCTGTTGGTGCTGGAACTCTGAACTCTGGTGGGCCAGGTCTGGAAGGGGCTGGGCTGAGAGGCCCATCCCTGGCCAGGGCAGCGGGGCTGTGGCTGAGAGATCCTCATGCACACCTTGCCACCTGGGCTTCTTTCTTCATCCTCGCTTTCTTGCACACCAGACAGGGCCCTGCCCAAGGGCACTCTGTGACTTCATGATGCTTCATTGTCGTAGAGGCCACAAGATACACCAGGGCTGAGATGGCAGCCAGGAGCACAGGAAGGCCTAGTGAGATTTCCTCTGACATGTGACTTGAAGGTGACAAAGGATGGCTGGTATGCCAGGGAGGGTAGGGTCCCCTGGAAGAGATGGCCATTGGTCTTCCCAGCACGCTCCTGCCCACCGGGATGTTATTTCCCTACTCTGAGCATACGCTGGACATAGGGGCCTCTGGAATCCACCAGAGCTGTATCTTCTGCGGTGATCACAACAGCCTAATTCCCAGGGTGTTCCAGAAGGCCCCTCTGGACAGGCAGTGTCACCTCTACCATCTTCTCAGCCACAACATATAAACCAGTAAGGACACAGAAGTCGCCAGGCCCCTCTGAACCTACTGGAGGGCCATTGTTCTCACCTTTACTAATGAAAAAAATGAAGGCCAGGCGCGGTGGCTCACGCCTGTAATCCTAGCACTCTGGGAGGCCGAGGCGAGCAGATCGCTCGAGGTCAGGAGTTCAAAACCAGCCTGAACGAGACCTCCTCTCCCACCCCCATCTCTACCAAAAATAGAAAGAAATTAATCGTCCAACTAAAAATATATAGAGAAAAAATTAGCCGGGCATAGTGGCGCATGCCTGTAGTCCCAGCTACTCGGGAGGCTGAGGCAGTAGGATTGCTTGAGCCAGGAGTTTGAGGTTGCTGTGAGCTAGGCTGACGCCACGGCACTCACTCTAGCCTGGGCAACAAAGTGAGACTCTGTGTCAAAAAAAAAAAAGAAAAAGAAAAAATGAGTAAAGCAAAATGGCAAAAATTGAAACGGCGAAAATATATTTGCAAATTAATTTTGCTGTTTATTTTTTTTTTATTTGTTTTAGAGACACGGTCTCACTCTGTTGCCTAGGCTGGAGTGCAGTGGTGCTATCCTAGCTCTCTGTAACCTCAAACTCCTAGGCTCAAGTGATCCTCTCGCCTCAGCCTCCTGCATAACTGGGACTACCGGTGTACACCACAACACTGGCTAATGTTTTTATATTATTATTTGTAGAGACAGGGTCTTGCTATGTTGCTTAGGCTGGTCTTGAACTCCTGGACTCAACTGATCCTCCTGCCTCAGTCTCCCAAAGTGCTAGAATTATAGGCGTAAGTCATTGTGCCTGGTCAATTTTGCTATTTTTATAAGGATGGAACAATACAGCAGGGTGTTTAAGGGCATGGACTCAGAATGCCGATGTTCAAATCTCATCTGTATTCCCCTCACTGCTGTGTGACCTTGGACAAGTTGCTTGACCTCTCTGAGCTTCTGTTTCCTCATCTATCAAAACATAATATGAAGCATCTCTACTTCAAAGTTGTTGAGAGGGTTAACTGAGGTCATGACAAAAAGGATGCAGCAAGCTCTCGACCGTTTACTAATCCATGGGTCTAGAAATATGCATGACAAGATGAAAACGGTGATTATCTATTGAGATGAGAGTGTATATTTGAATTTTTTTATGTCGACAAAAATTTTACACAATTATATGAAAACAATTGTTGTGGACTGAAATGCTTGTGTCCCTTCAAAATTCTTAGGTTGTAACCTTAACCTCCAATAGGATAGCATTAGGAGGTAGGGCACTGGGGAGGTGACTAGGTCATAAGGACGGAGCCCTCATAAGTGGGATTAGTGCTCCAATAAAAGGGACCCCAGAGATCCCTCTTGCTCTCTTTCTGCCACGTAAAGACACAACAAGAAGTCAACGGTCTGCAGCCTGGAAGTGGGTCCTCACCAGAACCCAGCTATGCTGGGACCCTGATCTTGAACTTCCAGCCTCCAGAACTGTGAGAAATTCCCACTGTTGGTAAACACCCAGTCCATGGTACCATGTTCCATCAGCTCAAATTAACTAAGAAATAACGCATCCTCGTGTGGTGGGAACAGCATGAGCAGAGATCCAGAGGAGGGAAGTGTGGGTGACAAAGCAATAAACTCGGCTTTGTTTTCTCAGTAGCTTATTTTCATAGCACTTTTGGAGAGAGCATTTAAATTTACACATATACTTATTTTTTCAACCCAAACAAGATTACACTATATTCTGTGCATGCTTTTTCAGTCAACAAATTCCACCTTCTCGTTCCAGTAAGATTTCATCTCACCTAATATCCAGACTATATTTGAATTACCTCAATTAACCCAAAAATGTCTCTTGTAGCCAATTTGTCTGTACTGGTATCGAATTATTAGGCAGGCAATTGATAGCTCATGAGAAGATCCAAGACTCAAGGTATTCAGGCAGCTTAGGATAGTGAAAGAGGGCTAGATTCATCCATTTGAATGTCTGTCTGTCCATCCATCTGTCCATTCATCCATTTATTCATCCGGCCATCCACCTATCCATCCATCTATCCATCCATTTATCCATTTGGCCACCCATTCATCTATTTATCCATTTATTCATCTGACCATCCATTCATTTATCCATCTACCCATCTATCTATCCATCCATCCATCCATCCATCCATCAGCCACCTGCCCATTTATCCATCATCCATCTGTCCATCTGTCCACCCATCCATCCAACCATCTATCCATTGCCTACTATATGCCCTTCCATGCCAGCTCCTATGCCCATTGTGTAACTGACAAACTTCCGGCTCTGGCTCAAACTTACCCTCTGCAATAGAGCTAGATTTGAACCCAACTCCCCAGACCTGTTCCCACAGCACAACACTGCCAGAGAGTTTCAGTCTTCAGGACAAGGAGACCAGCAGCCACTTCTCACCAATGTTTGCTCGTCCAGACACACTCTAACTATGCAGCGGGTAGTCCTGTCTGTGCTTCCTATTTACCCGGTCAGGAAAGGTGTTAGGTACAAAAGCCAAAATATCTGCTGACAGCAAAATACATCAAACAAATTTCCTTGTAAGAGAACAATATTTTTGTGTTCCAGCAAAGAACAAAGCTTCTGCATTTAAAAAAAAAAATCAGGTCAATTATTCTATTGCTTTTAGCTTCTCAGTCTTGCCTGAGTAAGCGCTTGCTCTAGAATATTGAGGATCCACAGGGCAGGAGACTTTCCTGGTGACCTTCTCGCTCCCCTCTAAGGAAAATTACTGTTCTAGATTTTCAAAATCTTCACGAAGACAGAATACGTCTGGAGCAAACAACTCTTAAAAGGTATGAAAGCAAATTATGAGATTTTTCCAGCAATAAAACTAAGTTTATACTCCTGGTAAAACACACACACTCACAAAATGCCACCATCAGGATATTATAATAGAAACAGTTAAGGCCCATTTAGTGCTCCTAAAAGTTATCAATATTAATAAAACCACTAAGAGTAATCCGTAACCATGATTCCTTATTTTATGCCAAATACTATGCTGAGTGTGTACATACATGACCTTATTTAATCCTACAAGCAGCTCTTTGAGGTAGAAACTACTGACCTGTTATGAACCCCATTTTACAGATGAGGAAACTGAGTTTCAAAGAATCTAAGTATCTTCCCCAAGGTTACAAAGCCAGAAGTTGAAAGAATGGAGATTCAAAGCTGGATAGTCTGACTCTAGAACCTTAATCTCCACATGGAACTTGAGCTTTGTATAAAAAAGAAAAACAAGCCAGGCATGGTGCCTCGCCCCGTAGTCCCAGATACTCAGAGGCCGCGGTGGTAGGAGCCCTCCAGCCCAGGAGTTCAAGGCTACAGTGAGCTATGACAGTGTGACGTCACCACACTCCAGCCAGGGCTACAGAGCAAGACCCCACTTCTTAAAAAAAGAAAAAAGAAGAAGAAAAGAAAGATAAATACATACACGCAAAACCAAAATAGAAATGGTACCTACACCTTGCATTCAGAGATAACCTGATAGCACTCTGATACACAGTCTTCCACTGTATTTCTCCTTTGCTTCCCTCCCTCACCAAATGCAGCATGGACATTCTCTCACGCCAATGGACATGTTCTTAGCTGTGTTTTCAGTTCTCAGGGCACATTACTAGAGGCTCCACCCTTAAGACTGGAAGAACCAAGAAGATACCAGTACCGGATAAAAACCCCAGGGACTGCGTACAAGTCCAAACTGGGAGCTAAGACTGAACTTGGAGGTGTGCTCCTCCCTTGGCTTCCGGCAAAGCCTTGCGGTTTATTATGAGATGTGGGTTTTTATGACTTCGGTCATTTGTCAGGAATGGCTGAAGCAGATGGAAGTTCTAAAAGGGGCTGCAGCAGCTTCAGCATGGCCACAGATCCTTTGACACTCCTCCCAGGGAGAGATGAGGCTGGGGGTCTCTCCCTTTGAGTGTGAGCAGGCTTGTGACTCTTTGACCAATAGATAGAGCAGAAGTGACACCATGTGACTTCTTAGGCTGGGTCACAAAAGGCCACGGGGCTCCTGCCTTACTCATAAAGCTCTGAGCTGCCGTGTTAGAAGCCCAACCACTCGCTGAGGCCACCATGTTATAGAGGCCACAGAGAGGCGCTGTGGCCAACCGACCCAGCTGAGCCCATCCTTCCAGCCATCCCTGCCACAGTGCCAGACACAAGGCTGAAGAGAACATCTTAGAAGTGGATCCTCCCGGCGGTGCCCCAAATGTTGGAGTTGCCCCCAGCTTTGGGGCTTCTAGCTAAGGCCCAGACATCACACAACAGAAACTAGCCTTCCTGCTGGGCCCACCAAAGTCCGACAAATAGAACCATGATTTTTTTTAATTTTATGCCAGTATGCTCAGGCTGGTTTGTTTAACAGCAAAAGACTACTAGGACAGAATTTGGTACCTGGAAGTGGGACTGACCTACACAGAGTTAGAGCTGAGCTCAGGGATTACAGCATTTGCATCTGAGGCACCACCATGCACTATTGAGATCAAGAATCCCCAAGGATCACGACAGCCCATGGGTCCCACCTTCCTTACCTGGGTCTCCAGGTGGTGTGTTTTGCTAGGAAGGGGCATCAAAACATAATTTTTGGCTGGGTGCAGTGGCTCACGCCTATAATCCTAGCACTCTGGGAGGCTGAAGCAGGAGAACTGCTTCAGCTCAGGAGTTTGAGACCAGCCTGAGGAAGAGTGAGATCCCATTTCTACTAAAAATAGAAAAAATTAGCCAGTGTGGTAGCACGTGCCTATAGTCCCAGCTACTTGGGGAGGCTGAGGCAGGAGGATCGTTTGAGCCAGGAGTTTGAGTTCAGTGAGCTACAATGACACCCAATGCACTCTAGTGCCGATGACAGAGACTCTGTCTCAAAAAAAAAAAAAAAAAAAAAAAAAGAAAAATCTATTGTCCTCATTAGTGAGGGAACCAATGGAACAGTAAAGCTGGCTTACAAAGCATTTAAGGACCTGAGTATTTATAGGCACCGAGGAGGAATGCTGGGACAAAAAATCTGGGTAACATACAAAACCTGTGAATTTCTTCAGGCTGTCA